GTGAGAAAATGTGAGGCCAGGCTGATCTATTAGCCTTCACTACACTCTACACTCTACGTAGAGCTCAAGAATAACAGTATTCCTGAGTGCATGAAAGGGTTACAGAGCTCAAAGTACCTCATACCATTTGGTCTGAAGTCACTAATAACAAGGCAATCACATATTCACTCACCTAATTGTGCTTGCTGGGGTTGAGCTCCGGCTCTTGAGTCCCGCCTCTGTGTCCTAGTGTGTGTGTGTGTGTGTCTCAGCTCTTGTTCACATAGTTTACAATTGGTTTACAATTGGATTCATTACCTGCAGCCACCTGTATAAATATTGATATCCCAGCCTATGACAATACATATATATATATATATATATATATATATATATATATATATATATATATATATATATATATATATATTATATATATATATATATATATATATATATATGTGTGTGTGTATATCACGAAAAATAAACACGTGATTAAGAATGTGACAATGTCAGACCACGGAGGAAAAATGAAACAGGAAATTTCCTTAAGTACTTTCGTATATTAAATACATCTTCAGAAGGTCCTTCTGAAGATGTATTTAATATACGAAAGTACTTAAGGAAATTTCCTGTTTCATTTTTCCTCCGTGGTCTGACATTGTCACATTCTTAATCACGTGTTTATTTTCGTGATACACACACACATATATATATATATATATATATATATATATATATATATATATATATATATATATATATATATATATATATATATATATATATATATATCTCTTTCGCTTCTAAACATATCAGTGAACTACACAACCTCAGAATAAATATAGGGAGCAAAATAAATAGACCATTGGGAGGTATAATTAATTTATTGAACTAACAAAAGCCTCGTTTGCTCTTTAAGGTCCTCTGGTAGATTAGAAGCGACGTATCTTAGTACGACAGTTTCTTGACGCTGGAGAACTTTAGCAGGACCGCCTGAGGCCTATGGGATAGAAAATGAGCCACAAATCACAGGTTGGGTAGGCCTATAGGACTAAAAACAAATACTTCTCTCTTCTTTAGCAGGACCGCCTGAGGCCTATGGAATAGAAAATGAGCCACAAATCACAGGTTGGGTAGGCCTATAGGACTAAAAACAAATACTTCTCTCTTCTTTAGCAGGACCGCCTGAGGCCTATGGAATAGAAAAATGAGCCACAAATCACAGGTTGGGTAGGCCTATAGGACTAAAAACAAATACTTCTCTCTTCTTTAGCAGGACCGCCTGAGGCCTATGGAATAGAAAATGAGCCACAAATCACAGGTTGGGTAGGCCTATAGGACTAAAAACAAATACTACTCTCTTCTTTAGCAGGACCGCCTGAGGCCTATGGGATAGAAAATGAGCCACAAATCACAGGTTGGGTAGGCCTATAGGACTAAAAACAAATACTTCTCTCTTCCCCAACCCGCAGACTTCAACTTGGCAAGAGGGAAGCGGACCCTTCAGAGCTCAACCCTGTGGTCGTACGCGCCCGAGATGGCGGTCGATGGCAACCCTGACACGTGTTCCTTCACCCCTAGAGGACCCGAACCCCGGTGGTGGCAGGTCCACCTCGGCCACAAGTTTAATGTCATCAGTGTTGGCGTCACCATTAGCCCAGGTGAGTCTTCATTTCACCCCAGTCACTTGGGCTGGACGGTAGAGCCACGGTCTCGCTTCTTGCAGCGTTCAATCCCCCGATCGTCCAAGTGGTTGGGCACAATTCCTTTCCCACCGTCCCATCTCAAATCCTTGTCCAGGGGCCAGATTCACGAAGCAGTTACGCAAGCACTTACGAACCTGTACATCTTTTCTCAATCTTTGGCGGCTTTGCTTACAATTATTAAACAGTTAATGAGCTCGGAAGCACCAGGAGGCTGTTTATAACAATAACAACAGTTGATTGGCAAGTTTTCATGCTTGTAAACTGTTTAATAAATGTAACCAAAGCCGGCAAAGATTGAGGAAAGATGTACACGTTCGTAAGTGCTTGCGTAACTGCTTCGTGAATCTGGCCCCAGGTTCGTAAGTGCTTGCGTAACTGCTTCGTGAATCTGGCCCCAGGTTCGTAAGTGCTTGCGTAACTGCTTCGTGAATCTGGCCCCAGGTTCGTAAGTGCTGGCGTAACTGCTTCGTGAATCTGGGTCCAGACCCTTTCCAATTGCTATATAGTCGTATTGGCTTGGTGCTTTACCCTGATAATTCCTTCCTCCATTCGCCCCTTCCCTCCCCCCCCCCCCGAGGGTCATACTGTAGGTGGTAGTACGGTCGGCCGAGCGGACAGCACGCGGGACTTGTGATCCTGTGGTCCTGGGTTCGATCCCAGGCGCCGGCGAGAAACAATGGGCAGAGTTTCTTTCACCCTATGCCCCTGTTACCTAGCAGTAAAATAGGTACCTGGGAGTTAGTCAGCTGTCACAGGCTGCTTCCTGGGGGTGGAGGCCTGGTCGAGGACCGGGCCGCGGGGACACTAAAAAAAAAAAAGCCCCGAAATCATCACAAGATAACCTCAAGATAACGGTCGGTCATCTCCCAAGTCCAGGTAAGTGTCATTCAACCCCCCCCCCCCAAGGTGGTGTGAATGAAGACTTACGAGAGCTGCACATCTTAAGTCAATCATGTATGCAAGTTTCTAATAATGAAACAGCTTACGAGGTCGGAAATACGGCGAGGAGGGTCTCGACTTAAGGTCATTATTGTTAAGGCACCTCGTAGTCCCTTCAGAGCCCTCAAACTGTTTAATATCTTATCTTGAGATGATTTCGGGGCTTAGCGTCCCCGCGGCCCGGTCCTCGACCAGGCCTCCTTTTTGTTACACCCCCCCATCCAGGAAGCAGCCCGTAGTAGCTGTCTAACTCCCAGGTACCTATTTACTGCTAGGTGAACATGGACATCAGTGTGAAAGAAACTTTGCCCATTTTTGTTTCCGCCTCCACCGGGGATCGAACCCGGAACCTCAGGACTACGAATCCGAAGCGCTGTCCACTCAGCTGTCTGGCGCCCCAATATGTAAACAAGCCCGCCACATTGGAGGGAAGATGTACAGGTTTCGCAAGTGGCCGTGTAAATGAATCACAGACACCAGGAACTCACACTAACATGCCATATCCATGAGATATAGCACCATTGGAGCGGTGCCTTGGGCTCGAACCTGCGTCTGCGGGGTTACCCTGGACGCCAGAAGGTAAAAAGGAAGCCTCAGGTGTCCTCATTATTGTTAAAATAACCTCTTAAATGTTCTCTTAAATGTTGAAAGAGAGAGTCACACTTCCGGAGAGTGAACGTTCTCTTGTGAACTACGGCGCTGAAGTGGATCACTCTTCTCTTAAACTTCCTCATTTGGGGTCAGTTTTCTAAATGTTACGGATGTTTCTATTGTTATTGGTGGGAATTGGGCGAGTGTTGGAGGTGTTATCGTACATCTGGGTAACCGAAGATACCTGTGGAACAATAATTCAAATTATTATAAAAATGTTATTGAGATAGATAGATAGAGAGAGAGATAGAGATAGATACATAGATAGATAGATAGATAGATAGATAGATAGATAGATAGATAGATAGATAGATAGATAGATAGATAGATAGATAGATAGATAGAGAGATAGATATAGAAGACAAACAAGTTTTAGTAAGTCATGAAAAGATTACTTTTTTTGTAATATTATTTGAATGAACAGAATTGTGTAATTTTTTTTTCGCATGGCTGAAGTTATTTCGCCATTGTTAGTGGTGTGGCGCGCGAGTTTGTCTCACAGTCACGTGCATCATGAACGATGACACGCCAGGCATGACAGACTCCAAGTCCCAAACAGCACAGTTTGTCAACTTGCAAGATTCTTGTTATAAGTTCGTCACGAATGTTTGAAAAAAAAAATGTCTTATCGCAAATGTTTGAGACAGGATGTGGGACTGAATTAATGGATATGGCCATAACGGTCCGAAACAGTCAGGAAGACCATTGACAAAGACTGAAAGAGCTCCCTGTGTTTATGGAATTTGATCCAAAGTTATAAAGGAACTGGTAAATGAACTGCCCGAAACGCTTTGCGTAATAGTGGCTTTAGGCATTGTATGTACTAGCTCTATCTATAAATCTATCAATTTTTGTAAAACCTCTTGTATGTATGTACTCTACCTGAATAAACATTTATTTATTTATTTATTTTAACTGTCTTCCACTGAAACTCCTTTTCAGGAGACTAAAACCAAAATATAGTTTCCATGAGTTGGAAATATGCAAATGTCACCTCTATCTTCAAAAAAGGCAGAGAGAGCTCACCTTGACACAATCTATTAAAACCGAGTAAAACAAGGTTACCAAAGCAATCTAGTAAAACTAGGCTACCCTCTAGAGAGGGTAACCAGCTATTGAGACAAAGGACTTCCAACAGATGTAGTATACATGGACTTCTCTGAAGCCTCTGACACGGGACCACATTTTACTGGTAAAACAGATACAAGCACGTGGAATAAATGGGAAAGTAAAATTCTGGTTAATCAATGGATGAAACCAAGGGGCCAGATTCACGAAGTAGTTACTCAAGTACTTACGAACGTGTACAGCTTTTCTCAATTTTTGGCGGCTTTGTTTACAATTATTAGATAGTTAATGAGCTCCGAAGCACCAGGAGGCTGTTTATAACAATAACAACAGATGATTGGGAAGTTTTCATGCTTGTAAACTGTTTAGTAAATGTAAACAAAGCCGCCAAAGATTGAGAAAAGATGTACACGTTTGTAAGTACTTGCGTAACTCCTTCGTGAATCTGGCCCAAGAAAGCAAAGGGCCGCTCTCAAAGAAAACTAATCTGACGGGAGAACTGTGGTAAATGTGGTACCACAAGGGAGCATCGTGGAACAAGCCCATTCTGTCACATACATCAATGACATAGATGAGAATATTACAAATGACCTCATCAAATTTTCTGAAGAGACCAATATTAGTGTAAAGATGGAAGTGAAAATGATGTGGAGGTCTTAGAAAGAGATGTACATGAACTCCACAAGTGGTCGGAAGCCTAGCAAGTGTTGTTTAAAATTGACAAGTGCTGCAAGACTTTGCATGTAGAGCGGAATAACGTACATCACAACTCACATCAACAACACTTCCTCGCAGCAGGAAGAAAATTACCTACGAGTCAGAATCCACCAGTCATTGAAAATTGCACAATAAATTTAAGCTGCAGTATAAAAGCCAACCGAGAATAACGGAAAGCCTAGCAAAAGTCAAACGAATCTTTGACTTCAAAGGAGAGAAAGGGGGTTATATAGACCTCTGGTGCGCCCACATTGTGATCGCTGTATCCATGCATGAAAACCTCATCTTCAGGACATACCTGACTTCGGGAAAGCACAATGCAGAGTCACAAAACATCAGTCCAGAACTAAGTTGACTCATTCCAGGAAACGCTTGACGTGACAAGGCTGATCTCGTGGAAAAACTTTTAAAATACCACTTCTTCAGAAGGTCACATGTAACATATACAGAGAGAGCAAACTACCTAATTACAGCCAACATTGTTTACTGCAATAGTGATTATATTGGCGAGGATGATTATAAGAACAATAATTTTAATAAAATATAATTTTGAAATTGAAATTGAAAATATAATTTCGTTATATTCATTGCTTCCTATCTATATATCTACCTACCTACCTACAAATATACTTAGTTTCCTACCTAGTGCTTTAAACTCGCACATATAGTGCTACCCAATCCCCCAATTTATGTGCCTAAGCCAAACAACTTCACCATTGTAATCATTACAACCATCTTACATCATGGTAATTGAACGCATATTTTAATGCATTATACCTTTAAATAATCCTCAAATAATCCTACAATGTACCTGTTGATAACCCTCAAATTTTACTTTAATATGCATACTAATCTTTGTCAAATTTTCTTACACTGTACCTATTAACATTTTTTATCAATTTTGCAAGAAATTACCTACTTAAAATTATCTGTTAGATTAAGTACCTGCCCGAAACGCTATGCGTTAGTGACTTTACAAGAATGTAACAACATCAATGCTATGTACTCTCATAAACCCAATGTACCTTCTTGCATATAAATAAATAAATAAATGATTTGCAACGGGATTTGAAAATTAGAAATGTTGGGTCTTAAAGAAGGCGGGATTATTTTTCTGATTCTCTCACACTCGTTTTTATGTTGTTTTTATATATTTATTAATTACTCCTTTTCATTATCTCCCACATCTCTTATTCCTACGTCCACAGAGGCGTAATTAAACAATTAAACAAAAAAAATTCCTGTTGCAGGGTCGATGCAGGAGTTTACGATCTACGTGATAGAATTGCTGACGGACAACAAGGCGCTCTACAAGCCCTGTACGACATTCAAGGTAAACAACCTGTCCTCTCACTTAATCCCTCGCATTTGGCACGGAATCGACCAATCCGTTAAAATAGCGACGTTTTGCTGAAAATTCAAGCACCGTAATAATGACGTTTACTATGACTGTCTCGATAGGTTAGGTGGGTTTGTACATTTTTGTGTATGCAAAACAGTTAGTGAATGGCAAGCCAAGAGAACTTTATGCTCATCCATGATTTCAGCCTACTGGCCAACCAGCAATTTAGGTATACTTAATTCCTGAAGACAGTCTAGGATTAAAGTAACATAATATGTTTATAAGAACATATACAATATAATAAGTTTTCTGAGAAAACTTAAAAATCTTTCTCTGTGATCCCATAAAACATCATGAGTTGGCAAAGTTATTGCATAACACCTTCACCAGCCAGTTTAGTGACTCTTACAATCTTGGCGGAAGCTTCAACAAACTGTGGTGAATGTGTGAGGCGCACGTGTCTGGAGGTGTTGTGGTCGGTTATACCACTATGATGGCGCAAACCGTGGTACCAGCGCGCCAATATCTATATTTACCCGCGTAATTTACGAGTAAAACAAAAAATAAATTCCTAAAATTTACTCAGGGCTTATATAAAGGCTAGATATTATTTAAACAACCAGTAAGGACTTAATCGATAAATATTTATAATTTATGAACGTTATGTAAAACGTTCATAACGTGACCACATTTATTGTTTGAATTTATGAAGATGAGGCTAAATCTCTTTCCTGCATTATAGGAGAGAAGAATAGACACTAACACTATCACTTTTAATGATATACTATTATTATTTGGCAAGATAATTTAACAAAAGCACAACAGTAGAAGACATCTACAGTCCGTGGTGGCACAGTGGTAACACTCTCGCCCTACGATTCGCAAGGGGAGGATTGACTAGGCGCCATTCCTTAACTGTTGGCATTTGTTAACCCAGTACCTAGTTGTTAACATATTAGTGGGTCATATTCCAGGGAAAACTAGTAGAGTAAGGGAAGTTTCCTTACTCTTACTTACTTCCCTTAAGGGAATTAGAGTTCCCTTCCCATGAGCTATGGGAAGGGAAAGCTCTGTCAGTCTGTCTGTCTACTCCTGTACCAACCTCTCAAAAAATAAAAAAGTAGCCCTGTATGACTTGCCAATGATAACGTTTTCATGTTTGAAAAATATTGTTCAAAATAACTGACCTTCAGACAGGGTGAAAGCTGTAACGAGCGATAATGTTATTCAACAATCATTATGACTGAAGTTGGAAATCATATTATGATCAAGATCATAAAAAGAGATTATAGAAAACGAATGTTTTTATGCTTGGGGGGGGGCGGGGAACTCTTATCTTGTAAATTGGTATTTATATGTAACTAATCCCTTCCCGTGTTCTCACATAATGCATAGTAGTTTTATGTTATTGTTGTTTAAGATTCTTCATAGGATTCTACTAGGAACAAAAAGTTCCAAATCGCAGTTTTAACAGAAGTGACGTTTTATATGCCTGGATAGGTTAGGTGGGTTGCTCGGGTTCGTCCGTTGCTGGCTAGGCAAAACAGTTTCGTATTTGACTTTTCTGTTTAAGGGAACACAGATGCATTTTTTACGAAGTGCGAAATCGAGAGAACCGACTGAGATCTCTTTCGATTTGCCACACCGTAACATATGCGGCTGTTTTGCCTAACCAGAAATGTGTGAACCCTGTTTCCTTACCCTTTTGACTTTGCAATAATTTCTTGTCCCCCACAACTCCCCATTTCTATTGATCTCACCCCATCATAGATCTCCACAGCGGGAGATTCTCAGGCTTTCACGAGCGTCCAATTCCAAGTGGTTTTGCCTGACCACGACTAACTTGGGGGTTGAGACCTTAAAAGGTTTTAGAAACCGCTAGGTCTCAGACCTACGTTTCGTACCCCACTAGATTTCAAACCCTACAAGATCTCAACTCCCACTAGGTTTCAGACCACGAAAAGTTTCAAACCTTAAAAGACTTCAGAATCAAGTAGGTTTCAGTCCCCAAAGTGAAGCCACCACTATAGGTTATCTCAAAAAAAGGTTTCAGATCCCAAAAATATTTTAGACCCCTAAAATGTTTCACAGCTTCCCCCATTGACCTTACACTATTTTTTTATCCGAACCTTACCCATTTCCCAGCTTTTCTACCCATGAGAGAAGGAAATATTAAGAGCTTGAACTATTCCAGGGTGTTTTCCAGACCCACAAGGCCCTCTTCCAGTGCAACGATGGCCTGGGCCACCCAGGACAGTTTGTGTACATCCGCGACGACAGGGAGGAGCAGGAGTACTTTGGTCTGTGTGAGGTGGAGGTCTTCGCTTTCAGAGGTGAGTGAGTGGAGAGAGAAAGAGGAGGGGGGGGGGATAGAGGGGAGGTAGCAAGAGGGAGAGGGTGAGGAAGAGGAAAGGGGAGAGAGGGGGGGGAAGAGAGAGAGGAGGAGAGAGAGAGAGAGGAGAGAGAGAGAGAGAGAGAGAGAGAGAGAGAGAGAGAGAGAGAGAGAGAGAGAGAGAGAGAGAGAGAGAGAGAGAGAGAGAGAGAGAGAGGAGGAGGAGAGAGAGAGAGAGAGGAGGAGAGAGAGAGAGGAGAGAGGGAGAGAGAGGGAGAGAGAGAGAGAGAGAGGAGAGAGAGAGGAGAGAGGGGGAGGAGAGAGAGAGGAGAGGGAGAGGAGAGGAGAGAGAGAGAGAGAGAGAGAGAGAGAGAGAGAGAGAGAGAGAGAGGGGGGGGGAGAGAGAGAGAGAGAGAGAGGGGGGGGAGGAGAGAGAGAGAGGGGAGAGAGAGAGAGAGAGAGGGAGGGAGGGAGAGAGAGAGGGAGAGAGAGAGAGGGGGGAGAGAGAGAGAGGAGGAGAGAGAGGGGGAGAGAGAGAGAGAGAGAGGAGGGGGAGAGAGAGAGAGAGAGAGAGGGGGGAGAGAGAGAGAGAGAGAGGGGGGGAGAGAGAGAGAGAGAGAGGGGGAGGGAGGGGGTGAGAGAGAGAGAGAGGGGGGGAGAGTGAGAGAGAGAGGGGGGGAGGAGAGAGAGAGAGAGAGAGAGAGGAGAGAGAGAGAGAGAGAGAGAAGGGGGGGGAGAGTGAGAGAGAGAGAGAGGGGGAGATCAAAATGATCTACTACTGTACCAGAAATTCTAGCCTATATCCTCAGTTTGCTAACTGTAGGTAGTAACTGAGTGATTGTAACTTATCCAACACAGCCCACTAGTTGGGGGCGTGTGCAGGACATATAATTGTGACACTTGCTCTCCACGTGCCAGCTATTTTATTTAGAAACTGTACTTTAGGTCGGTCTCGAGCCCAATGTTAATGTGACGATGTGCATTAAATTTTGTAACTAGTTCATCAAAACTGTAATTTGCTAGACCATCGCTGACTTGTAAGTCATATAACTGGATTTGTACTGTAGGACTACTCTTCCCTTCCACCCGAGTGCTTGTGGATCATACGTAAAACATGGACTGGCTTCAGTAGGAGCCGTCAGCAGTAGAAATCCGGTTTATAACTTTTTTTTACAAGTCAGCTGTGGTCTAATGGTAGGGTATGCAGATGGCAATGCCAAGGTCGTAGGATCGCACCCACCTCATTGCCTTGGTGGATTTTCTCATTGATATACATCACATTAATGTGATTTCTGTGGATTATTATTATTATTATTGTTATTATTGAGAAAATCAGTAGGAGCCATGCAGAGGATTCCAACCTGCACACGTGATACTTCCAAGCACATGCCTTAAACCACTGGACCACATTGTGCTACAAAAGTAACCTAACCTGGAGGATTCAATTGAATCTTTCAAGAGTCCCGAGGCATCCAGCTGATACCAAATCAAAATTTCACACACACTACCCACATACATCCTGGTATGGTACAGAAGTAGTACTCCCTAATGCTATTCTTCAAATGCACAAAGAAATCACTTAACATGACGTACCAATGAGAAAATCAGTAGAAGCCATGAGGACGACTCAAAACTGCACACTGGGTACACCCAGTGGAGCTAAATTTGATCTTATTCTCTTCCTGAACATTTTAAACACTTTTGAGCTTATGATAACCCCAATCCCTTTTCTCCCAGAGCGAATCCCATGTGGAGAGCCAGAGGTTCCAGTTGAGGGGGAGGTGATCCGCCAGGGGGAGGCCAAGGCAGAGTACTCCTGCAGATCGGGCTTCAGGCTTGAGGGCGACCAAGTTCTCACTTGCTCCTCCAAGGGCAAGTGGCAAGGGCAAACTCCCAGGTGCAAAGGTGAGTTCCTGAATTATTATTTCATTTTAAATTTTTTTTTTTTTACTTAACTCTTACATACTTCTTAACACACAATTAACATTTATCTCTCAGCTCTAAACCTACTCTGGACAATTCTTGGGTTGGTGTTGTGCTTAAGGCTTATTAACATCTGGAGGGTTATTAAGGCCACTACTGTAGCTTACTGTCCAACCAGCAAGAATATTTTTGTCTTGAACATAGTCCAGGACTAAACTAAACTCTCGGTGTGTGTGTATATACACTGAAAAGTGGAGTACACTTCTCAGTGTATATCTCTCAGTGTATATACACCATACACACCTCTCAGTGTATATATACCCAGAAGCTGGGGTATACACCTCTCAGTGTATATACACCCAGAAGCTGGGGTATACACCTCTCAGTGTATATACACCCAGAAGCTGGGTACACCTCTCAGTGTATATACACCAGAAGCTGGGTATACACCTCTCAGTGTATATACACCAAGAAGCTGGGTATACACCTCTCAGTATATATACACCAAGAAGCTGGGTATACACCTCTCAGTGTATATACACCCAGAAGCTGGGTATACACCTCTCAGTGTATATACACCCAGAAGCTGGGGTATACACCTCTCAGTGTATATACACCCAGAAGCTGGGGTATACACCTCTCAGTGTATATACACCCAGAGGCTGGGTACACCTCTCAGTGTATATACACCCAGAAGCTGGGTATACACCTCTCAGTGTATATACACCCAAAAGCTGGGGTATACACCTCTCAGTGTATATACACCCAGAAGCTGGGGTATACACCTCTCAGTGTATATACACCCAGAAGCTGGGTATACACCTCTCAGTGTATATACACCCAGAAGCTGAGTATACACCTCTCAGTGTATATACACCCAGAAGCTGGGGTATACACCTCTCAGTGTATATACACCCAGAAGCTGGGGTATACACCTCTCAGTGTATATACACCTCTCAGTGTATATACACCCAGAAGCTGGGTATACACCTCTCAGTGTATATACACCCAGAAGCTGGGTATACACCTCTCAGTGTACATACACCCAGAAGCTGGGGTATACACCTCTCAGTGTATATACACCCAGAAGCTGGGTATACACCTCTCAGTGTACATACACCCAGAAGCTGGGTACACCTCTCAGTGTATATACACCCAGAAGCTGGGTATACACCTCTCAGTGTATATACACCCAGAAGCTGGGTACACCTCTCAGTGTATATACACCCAGAAGCTGGGTACACCTCTCAGTGTACATACACCCAGAAGCTGGGGTATACACCTCTCAGTGTATATACACCCAGAAGCTGGGTACACCTCTCAGTGTACATACACCCAGAAGCTGGGTACACCTCTCAAGTGTATATACACCCAGAAGCTGGGGTATACACCTCTCAGTGTATATACACCCAGAAGCTGGGTACACCTCTCAGTGGCTCAGTGTATATACACCCAGAAGCTGGGTACACATCTCAGTGTATATACACCCAGAAGCTGGGTACACCTCTCAGTGTATATACACCCAGAAGCTGGATACACCTCTCAGTGTATATACACCAAGAAGTGGGGCACACCTCTCAGTGTATCTGTCCTTGTGTACAATTCTTAATATACAGGATACTATGAAAAATAATAATAATTTGATGATTTTTATGATTTTCAAATAATAGTTTTTTAATTATGGAAATATGGAACAAAATAAAAATAAAAAAATTGATGATTCATGAATACATGAAATTTTACATAAAGTACATTTTTATTTTGTCATGTAAAGTCCTGTAATTTGGATGGAAGGCTTTGTCCATAAATTTAGGCACCTGTTACAATATTTGAAGAAAATCTTAAATATTTTATAGTTCACTAAAATAAACTATAATGTAAAATGTAAAAAATGATCTCAATCTTGATTATTTTGTATAAATTTGATTACCTTGCTAAGGTAGTCCAAAATTCTTCTATTATATTGTTTGTAATGCCAACCAATTCCTAGATACCACGACTGATGATCGAAAAATGTTATTCATTGCAAGCCTACGAGCCACTCAGGCAAGAGAGAGAAGCAAATAATACTGGTGCAGGAGCTGAGGCTGTCGACAGGGATGAAACTGAAGTACTAGTCAGGGAAAGTGTGAACTCTGATTCAGTCTGCCCGGACAGAGAAGACAGTAGACAGGAAATTGTAACAGACAGCACTGACAGCTTGAAAGGTACAGACACAGCAGACCTTGATAGAGAGAGAGACAAACAAGAGACAAACATGCAAATTCTATGCAAAATTATATTTGCAGACATAGATATTATGGAAAGAAAAATGGATTGAAATACAGTTACCCTAATCGCAGAAAATTTCTGTATCTACTTAAGAATGGACAATGTTGATTAGGATCAACATGCAGGTATTTCCATCCTGACTTGTTCAAAACCTTACTGAGGAAAGAAAATTGCTATGATATTTGAGGAAAGAAAATGCTGTGATATCAGCTGACCAGACTTTCACATGGAAGGCACAGAATGCTACACAAAGAATGGAAGACAGGAAAATGGTTTTGGAGAACAGTGAAATAATTGTTTAAATCCAGAAGAAAGAGGTTTCAAAAGGCTCCACCTCGCAAGTCGTGTCGCTGCAAATCGGAGTGCACTGATTGCTCATGGTCATACCCTGCATTGTTGGAATCTGTGCATCCCTGTTGTCTGTTGCTGTTGGTATTGCTGGAACTGACATAAAGAACCAGCCACAGATAACATTACACCCCCACAACAGAGCTTCAACTACAACAGGCAACAGTCCTGCAACAACCAGTCAAATCAGAAGAAATCCATTTTGTGCACGCATAACGGACCTCCACGAAAGATCTCCCAGTCAAAATGCATCAGAGTAACCTCCTTCATCTTTGCCGACATACAGGGACTAAAAACAAAGTTGCAGTTGCAAAACAAAGTACAATACTGTTCATAAAGGGCCTCTTAAAAGGGACAAATGCAGTATTTGGAGCTTTCACAGAAACCCCCATGCAAGGAAATACATAGACAGTGAGATCTGGAAACTGGAATATAATTGATGTAGATATGATAAGAGTAAATAGGTCACATGGAGGAGTAGGTTTGTAGATGATGAGTCACAGTAACATGGTTGAAGGTATGATGACCAAATCACACATTCGAAGATGAAGAAACGATGACATTTCGGCCCCTCCTGGACCATTATCAAGTAGTGTGTTTGAGGTTTATATATTATATAAGGACCTTTTATGCTCAGAGCTCTTTTAACTACAAATGAGGTGGTAGAGGTACTTACAGTAAAACTAGAGAAAAATAAACCAAAAAAAACTATACAAACTAATATGACAAATATACGTGTCAGAATTGAGGAATTCACAGAACAGATAAACATATCAGAGAATAGCCTCAATACTCTGGCAAACCCAATACCAGATATTATTTCCCTTGAAGACTTCAATCTACCCAGACTTAGATGGTGAGTGGTAAACAATAATGTTTTATCAGGAAATCTATCTGGAAATAATCAATCACAGGTCAGAGAACTACTTAAGATTCTGTGACAAATTTTTGTTCAACCAGCAGATAACAGAGCGAACTAGAAATGAAAATATTCTAGTTCTTATCTTCACAATAAAGAAATAATCAAAGCATTACTATCTTAAGGTACCAAATACCCAGATCACAAGCTCATTCACGTGCAAACTAACATCAGCAATTGTAATATGTCCAAAAAATTATCCAGCAAGAAGTGTTATTCAATAAATTCAATTTTAGTAATTACAGGATTGACAGGAAAAAAACATAGAACTTACAAACATTCAATGGGAAAGTGTTTTAAGCAATAAAACTCCCATGCAGGGAATAGAACAACTGACTGCCGAAGTGTACAAAGTTTGTTTAAAAACACGTTGCTTTGTGGCAAGTCAGAACGAGGACTAGCTTAGAAAGAGAATGCAGGCAACATTACAAAAGAAGGAACAAAATAATAGAAATGCTTAAGCAGACATGATTATCCCTACAAAGAAGAATTTAAACAGAGAGATCAAAGAGATAGAGCAGGAATTGAAGCAGTCATATCACACTGAAGAAATAAAATTAGAACAGAAAGCCATACAAGAGATAAAGAACAATCAAAAATATTTCTTCATACACGTATACACAAAAGCAACATAAAAAACACTGTCAGTATTGGACCTTTACTTACGGTTGAAGGTTCATACACAGAGGAAGACAGAAATTACTGAAATCGTAAAAGTCAGTATGAAACTATCTTTAGCACCACAATAAACAGCATGAAAGTGATAGATCTGGACAGCTTCTTTATGAATGATACTCTATCCAAATCCCAGACACTATAACTGACATTAACATGAACTCTGCAAACTTCAAAAAAAGAAATTGACAACATGCTCATGCACTTAACCCCGGGTCCAAATTTGTGGAATTAAATTTTTATAAAGAAATGCTAGATGCCAGTGACACAAGCACTGAGTGTAGTGTGGAGAAAAAGCTTGGACACTGAGGAGATGCCAGAAGCACTTAAATCAGCAGACATCCCTACACAAGGGAGGAAGCAATATACTGTATTGGCTAAAAATTATAGACCAGTAACAAGTGTTATTAGTCTATAATTTTTAGCCAATACAGTACATTGCTTCCTCCCTTGTGTAGGGATGTCTGCTGATTTAACATACAGTAAACAAACATTTGTAACATACTGATTGATACAGTAACTAATATTACTGGTCTATAAAACTGGGCGCACTAATGTTTTAGGGCAACTGGTCTATAAGTAACAATAAAGGCTTTTGAGAGAGTAATCACGAGTCAGCTCTCCAGTTTTATGGAGACCACTGACCTCTACAACCCAGGTCAACTTAGAGCAGGAAGATTCCTTTCGCAGTTACTCGACTACTATGACAGAATCACTGATGCATTAAAAGAAAAACAGAATGCAAAAACATTTGATAAATGTTACCATGGAGTGATAGCCCACAAAATGAGATCAATAAGAATACTGTAACAGGTAAAGTAGGGCAATTGATATTAAATTTTATTTTAAACCGAATGCCAAGAGTAATGGTCAATCAACTAAAATCATGTCCAAGCACAGTGAAAAGTTCTGTACCTCAGAGCACAGTCCTTGCATCGGTTGTATGGTCCCCATATCTTAAGAAGCACATCAACAAACGGAAAAGGTGCAAAGACATGCAACTAAATGGCTCCCAGAACTGAAGGACAAGAGCTACAAGGAGAGGTTAGAGGCATTAAATATGCCAAAACTAGAAAATAGAAGAAAAAGAGGCGATATGATCACTACAGTCAAAATAGTAATGTGAATCAATAAAATTGATAGGGAAGAATTCCTGAGACCTGGAACTTCAAGAACAGGAGGTCATAGATTTAATCTAACTAAACAAAGCTGCCGAAGAAATACTAGTATGAGAAAATTCACTTTCACATAGTGGTAGACGGTTGGAACATGTTAGGTGAGGTAGTGGTGGAGGCCAAAACTGTCATTAATTTCAAAGCATTATATGACAAAGAGTGCTGGGAAGACGGGACACCACAAGTGTAACTCTCATCCTGTAACTACACTTAGGTAATTACTGGTTTTCCTTATTCTCATATCAGATATAGTAAAAAATACAAGTCACAGCCTCGTATCATCTTTGTAGATGATAAAAACTTAGCATGAAAATTACTTCTGTAGAAAATGATAAAAGCTATAAGCTGATATTAATAAAGTTTTGTAATGGGGCAGCAGAGAATAACGATGTTAATAGTGATAAATTCCAGGTACTTAGGTACAGTAAAAATGAAGACCTTAAACAAGATACAGGGTACAAGACACAATCAAATCTGCCCATAGTAGGAAAGCAACATGTAAAGAATCTGAGAATAATGATGTCTGATGACCTGACTTTTAGGGAGCATAACCAAGCAAATATAGCATCAGCTAGAAAAATGATAGGATGTACATTCTAAGAACCATCAAATCCAGGGATCCAATCACTATGCTCATATTATTCAAATCATTTACACTATCCTTCCTTGAGTACTGCTTGATACTTCCCCACTTCAGAGCAGGAGAGATTGCTGAAATAGGGGGATACAGAGAGAACATATACAGCACGCATAGACACAATAAACGGCTAAATTATTTGGACCATCTTAAAGCTCTCAACTCAACACTGGAATGGTAATGAGAGAGGTATTTAATAATATATACATGGAAAATACTGAAAGGCCAGGTCCCAAATTTGCACAGTAAAATAACAGCAAAATAACCAATGAAGAGTAGAAGTGTCATAAGCACAATCAGAGTAGAAGTGTCATAAGCACAATCAGAGTAGAAGTGTCATAAGCACAATCAGAGTAGAAGTGTCATAAGCACAATCAGAGTACGCTCTATGGACATCAGAGGTCCACAGTTCAGTATCCTCCCAGCAAGTATAAGAAATATTACCAGGAACAAAAGTGGACTTCAAGAAGAATTGGATAGTTTTCTACAAGAAGTGCCAGACGTACCGGGTTGTAGTGGATATACTGTATGAGCTTGTAGACTACCCCAAGCAACAACTTGATTTAAAAAGGTGTCACAAGTCAGGGCCAGGGTTGTGGAGAAGAGGAACTCCCACAATGCCATCCAGGAACTGGGGGGAAGGTCTTGGAGGAAGGGAGGGAGGGAGGGTCTTGGCCATATCCATCAAGCCTGGCCTCAGGCCGGGCTCGGGAGTAGAAGAACTCCCGAGACCCTCTCCAGGTAGTGTACCCATTCACAAAGAAATCCTGTATTTCCTTAAGTATTTTTTTATGTGGGTGGGAGCAATATACAGTATTTAATTGTCTTTTTTTTTCCTTTGATTTATTCAAATCATTCTGAACCTTATCCTGAGGAGACTCCTCATTCTTCCTGCTGTCTGGTCTCACATAACACCTCAATCTGTCCAAACTGTCGGTCATTGGCATAGGAGGGGCATCCATAAGCCTAAAAGGCTTTCTGCCCCAAACAATCGGTAACGATTTAACCTCCAGTGCTTTTTACAGAGTCGCAGTGCCCAGCTCCTTCCCATGTCACTCATGGGTTTATAGAGGTAGCCAACTTCCGTGGAGTCTATGGCTATGGCACAGTGGCCACATATACCTGTAACCCCGGCTACATCCTCAAAGGAAATACCACCCGCACTTGTGACCATACTGGCAAGTGGACAAACGAAGCTCCTATCTGTCAAGGTGAGGCCATGTCTCACAGAAACACACCATGAGCACGTGTTATTTTTATGTCAACATTGTGGTTCATTTTATGTGTGTGTGTGTGTGTGTGTGTGTGTGTGTTTGTGTGTGTTTGTGTGTGTGTGTGTGTGTGTGTGTGTGTGTGTGTGTGTAATTACCTAAGTGTAGTTACAGGATGAGAGCTACGCTCGTGGTGTCCCGTCTTCCCAGCACTCTTTGTCATATAACGCTTTGAAACTACTGTGTGTGTGTGTGTGTGTGTGTGTGTACTCACCTATATGTACTCACCTATATGTGCTTGCAGGATCGAGCATTGACTCTTGGATCCCGCCTTTCGAGCATCGGTTGTTTACAGCAATGACTCCTGTCCCATTTCCCTATCATACCTGGTTTTAAAATTATGAATAGTATTTGCTTCCACAACCTGTTCCTGAAGTGCATTCCATTTCCCCACTACTCTCACGCTAAAAGAAAACTTCCTTACATCTCTGTGACTCATCTGAGTTTCAAGCTTCCATCCATGTCCTCTCGTTCTGTTACTATTCCGTGTGAACATTTCGTCTATGTCCACTCTGTCAATTCCTCTGAGTATCTTATACGTTCCTATCATGTCCCCCCTCTCCCTTCTTCTTTCTAGTGTCGTAAGGCACAGTTCCCTCAGGCGCTCTTCATACCCCATCCCTCGTAGCTCTGGGACGAGTCTCGTTGCAAACCTCTGAACCTTTTCCAGTTTCATTATATGCTTCTTCAGATGGGGACTCCATGATGAGGCGGCATACTCTAAGACTGGCCTTACGTAGGCAGTGTAAAGCGCCCTAAATGCCTCCTTACTTAGGTTTCTGAATGATGTTCTAACTTTTGCCAGTGTAGAGTACGCTGCTGTCGTTATCCTATTAATATGTGCCTCAGGAGATAGATTAGGTGTTACGTCCACCCCCAGGTCTCTTTCACGCGTCGTTACAGGTAGGCTGTTCCCCTTCATTGTGTACTGTCCCTTTGGTCTCCTATCTCCTAGTCCCATTTCCATAACTTTACATTTGCTCGTGTTGAATTCTAGTAGCCATTTCTCTGACCATCTCTGCAATCTGTTCAGGTCCTCTTGGAGGATCCTGCAATCCTCATCTGTCACAACTCTTCTCATCAACTTTGCATCATCCGCAAACATCGACATGTAGGACTCTACGCCTGTAAACATGTCGTTAACATACACAAGAAATAGAATTGGTCCCAGCACCGATCCTTGTGGTACTCCACTTGTTACTGTTCGCCAGTCCGACTTCTCGCCCCTTACCGTAACTCTTTGGCTCCTTCCTGTTAGGTAGTTCCTTATCCATTCTAGGACCTTTCCCCCCACCCCCGCCTGCCTCTCGAGCTTGAACAGCAGTCTCATGTGCGGTACTGTATCAAAGGCTTTTTGGCAGTCCAGAAATATGCAGTCTGCCCAACCATCTCTGTCCTGTCTTATCCTCGTTATTTTATCATAGAATTCCAGAAGGTTTGTTAGGCACGATTTCCCTGTCCAGAACCCATGTTGATGTTTGTTCACAAACCTAATGTTCTCCAGGTGTGCAACCAGTCGTAGCCTAATTATTCTTTCCAGTATTTTACAGGGGATGCTTGTCAGTGATACAGGTCTGTAGTTAAGTGCCTCCTCCCTATCTCCTTTCTTGAAGATCGGCACGACATTTGCCTTCTTCCAGCAACTGGGCAATTCTCCTGACATAAGTGACTCATTAAAGATCATTGCCAGAGGCACGCTGAGGGCCTGTGCTGCTTCTTTTAGTATCCACGGTGATACTTTGTCTGGTCCAACTGCTTTAGTTGCATCTAGAGTTGTCAACTGTTTCATTACCTCCTCTGCTGTCACCTCTATATCTGATAGTCTTTCATCTAGGGTAACCCCTTCCAACAATGGGAGCTGCTCAGGCTCGGTAGTGAACACTCCATGGAAACTGGCATTCAGTGCCTCGCAGATTTCCTTGTCACTTTCAGTATATGCCCCCTCTGTCTTCCTTAGTCTTGTCACTTGGTCGTTCACCGACATTTTTCTTCTTATATGACTGTGTAGTAACTTAGGTTGTTTTTTCGCTTTGATTGCAATATCGTTCTCATAGTCCCTTTCCGATGTTCGTCTTATGTTAATGTAATCGTTCCTAGCTCTGTTGTATCTGCTTCTGTTGTCCTCTGTTCTTTGTCTTCTGTACTTCCTCCACTCCCGCCTGCTGGCCATTTTTGCTTCCTGACACTGTCTATTAAACCATGGGTTATTATATTCCTTCTTATTTTTTCCCTTTACCGTTGGTATAAATCTCTCTTCGGCCTCCTGGCATTTCTGTATGACTAGGTCCATCATATCTTGGACTGTTTTTCCTCTAATTTCTTCCTCCCACTGCACTTCACCCAGATAGTCCCTTATCCTCATATAGTCCCCTTTCCTGTAGTCAGCTCTCCTTTCCCAGATCTCTTGTCCCATGGTCATAATTTTGAATTCCATCATGTAGTCAAAGACTAGGACACAATGGTCACTGGCCCCTAGAGGTATTTCATGCTCTAAATTCTCGATATCTTCTACGTTCTGGGTGAAAATCAGGTCTAATAGGCTCGGTGCATCTCCTCCTCTTTCCCTTGTGTCTTCCTTCACATGTTGTGTCAGGAAATTCCTGTCTATAACATCTACTAATTTTGCTCCCCACGTTTCATCCCCTCCATGGGGATTCCTTGATTCCCAATTTATCTCTCCATGATTTAGGTCCCCCATGATCAGCAGCTTCGCTCTCATTCTGTGGGCTAGTGTTGCTGCCTTCTGCAGTTCATCAATACATGCTTTGTTGTTGTCATCATACTCCTGCCTGGGTCTTCTACTGTTTGGTGGGGGATTGTAGATTACCATGATCACAATCTTCCTCCCATCTACTGTCAGAGTTCCATGTATGAAGCTTGTGCACTCATTGGTAACTCGATTTCCCAGGTCACACACAAGTGTGTGTGACCTGGGAAACACACACCTGTGTGTGTTTCCCAGGTGTGTGTGTCCTGTGTGTGTGTGTGTGTGTGTGTTTGTGTGTGTGTGTGTGCGTGCGTGCGTGTGCGTGCTTGCTGGGAAGGTGGCAGTGTGTGGTTACCTTTCTTTTTCAGCAAATATTCCTATGCAGGCCTTAAGCTTCTGGCCGGCCTGCTAAATGTTACTGATTTCAGTCTTAGTTGGTGGATATGAAGTGGTTACTTGTAGTTATTATTTGTGATTAAGTGGCCTTTGTAGCCAGTTTATATTTAAAACAAGTGTAGTTTCATTGAAATTTATTTGTTTTAAAATAACACAATACTGTACATATATTGTCTCTGTTGAAAATTTTGATAACAAGTTCTACCCAATTGCAGCTGTGACATGTGGGCCACCCCCAGTGTTCCCTCATGCCCGCCACACCCTCATCAATGGCTCAACGAACTGGAATGGTATCGCTGTCTACACCTGCAGTGATGGCTACAGGCTCCACAGAGGTTAGAAAACTCCCTCCTCCTCTGGAGGAGCCCCTTAAGACTCTCTCAAGTTATTACACTGATTTAATTAATGTCATCAGTCATGGAGTTCTTATAGGCCTATGGGGACCATGAGCCAGAACCTGGCCCTCTCAAAGAGGCATAGGGAGCAGTGGCACTATGAACACCTTACATTTAAAGTAATTCATGTCTGCCACCACCAGGGAAAGCACCCAGAAAGTCAGCAAAACAAAAGAGACCACTGCATAGTTAACAATGAGACTGCAGCCTCAAAGCTGCCAAAAGAACTCGCCCAACTATGAATACGAACAACCAAAATTTTGCAAAACTAGCACAGGCTTATTTTTCCCACCTATCCCTCTTGTTTGGGGGAGAGGAGGGAGGCAGACCGGGTCAGCCGATCCCATCACTCAGTTCTTAATCTGATGTGTGCGTGGTTGCCACCCTAGTCGCTGGCTCCGGTCCCCCATTTTCAAGTGGTGTTTCTTGATCAACGTTCTTATACCAAATACTGTTGCCTCTTATTGTATGGCATTGGAGCTGCTCCAGCTTGCTTTTGGGGTGGATACCTCTTCTGCCCCGTTTTACAAGCTTTCTCACTCTTTGTTTTACCTGTGGCCTGCTCGTGTGCTGCCCGAGCCTGCCTGGTCCCTTGACCAGGTTCTTTTTTTCTTTCTTCTGCTCAGTTTATGGTGGCCCCTTCGGTCCGGGATTGTTTTTGGAAGGCTTTGTTTTTGCTCACTCTGGCCTTCATGTCTTCTTTGGCATCGGGGATTTTGTTCTTTTGGCTCTGGTGGGCATTTTGTTCGGTTGCAGCCGGCTCCTGCTTTTGTGGCGAAGAATGAGTCGGCTGGTTTCTAGAGGGGGTCTTTTGGTTGTGGATTCATGGTTGGCTCTGCCGGAGGTGCATCATACACTTTGCCCGGTGGAGATTTTATGGCGCTGCCTTCAGGCCACTGGTTATGCTTTGGTGGTCATTTTGTAGGTTGATCCGGTTTCCCTGGTTCCCTTTTTCAGGGCTTGTATTTCTCAGGTCATCCACAGTGTCATAAAAGCTAGCCAGCCTGTAGTCTACCCTCGTGCCCATGATGCCTGGAAGTATGCCACCCTGACGGTTGTGTTTGTGAATATATCTTGGACCGATATTCAGGCGCGGGGAGTTTTGACCATTGAAGAGGGTCTTGGAGGCCAGGTATTTTGTGAATGTTCCTGGTCCTCAATGACCTTGTGCTGCTTTGGGTCGTGTGTCACAGCTGAAGGTCTCTTCCTCGATCTAATATCTTTGCTGCTGTCTACTTCCTGGTACGTACCTTGTTTCTTTATCTGTGGGTCCAATCACTTCTGTTAAAAGGAGGATTTAAAGATTATAAAAATTAATACTGTAATTCAATTTGTCAGGACAGGAAGCCTGTGTAAACATATGCATATACTCCTCTTAGATCTATCTTGAGCCCTCCTCCCTTCACCAAGGCTGAACTACTGACCCTCCCTAGGATGCAACCCTGGTTGATACCTGGTTGATGGGGTTCTGGGAGTTCTTCTACTCCCCAAGCCCGGCCTGACTTGTGAGAGTTTGGTCCACTAGGCTGTTGCTTGGAGTGGCCCACAGGCCCACATACCCACCACAGCCCGGTTAGTCCGGCACTCCTTGGAGGAATAAATCTAGTTTCCTCTTGAAGATGTCCACGGTTGTTCCGGCAATATTGCTTATGCTTGCTGGGAGAGTGTTGAACAACCGTGGACCTCTGATGTTTATACAGTGTTCTCTGATTGTGTCTATGGCACCTCTGCTCTTCACTGGTTCTATTCTGCATTTTCTTCCATATCGTTCACTCCAGTACGTTGTTATTTTACTGTGTAGATTTGGTACTTGGCCCTCCAGTATGCAACAGTTACAACTGTACCCTGTTACAACTGTAGAAGGGTACAACTGTACCCTACTACAACAGTTACAACTGTACAACTGTACCCTGCAACAACAGTTACAACTGTACCCTGTTACAACTGTAGAAGGGTACAACTGTACCCTGCTACAACAGTTACAACTGTACCCTGCAACAGTTGCCTAACTCCTAGATATCTCTTCACTGCTAAGTGAATGGAGGCATTAGGTAAAAGGAAAGTTGCCCAACCTTTAACCTCCCACTTGGGAAACAAAATGGGATCTGCCAAACTTCGACTTCTACTTTGCTTTGGTGTCCTGTTGTCGGGTACAGGAATCCTGTTGGGGTTATTGAGGTCAATCTAGAACATCTTGGACCAAATAAATGTAGAGAATTCATTAGCAGTTCTTCAGATAATAGAATTGGGAGATGTATTATAGGGGAAAAGTCAGAATATGATAATGCTATTTGAACTTAAATATGATTAAAATGTGTTATAGTTATAAACATGTATTGGGCTCACATATATATATGTTAGATCAGTTTTCTTGCTTTACTTCTCTACTTATTCCTCACTTTGTACTTCACCTTCCCTCATGTGTTGTATTGCTCTCTCTCTCACCTGTGCTCAGTTATGCCTTGATAAGCATTCAGGACATACTGAAAAGTTGATACTTATATTTCATTACTTATGTGGGTTAGGCTATATTATAATTATAATTATAATTATAATAATATTTTAATCATACAATTGAGTTTTCATTGTACAGGGGTACCTCAGTTTAAGAGTTTAATCCGTTCCTGGAGACAGCTCGTAATCCGAAAACTCGTAAACCGAAGCCAATTTCCCCATAAGAAATAATGGGAAATGAATTAATTCATTCCTGATTACCCAAAAACCTCACTTCAAACTAAATTTTATACCTAATGGTATAAAATGGTATATGCCTGGAGGATGAGCAGGAGCATTGTCGAGGAGAAGCAGGGCTTTGAGTGGCAAATGTTTCTCCTGCAGATATTTTTCTATGACAGGGCACACCACTTCATTCACCCACTCAGAAAAAAAAATCCTAGTAATCCATGCCTTATTATTAGCCCTCCACATCTTACACATTTGGTTTTTCTGCACTTTATACTATTTGAAAACCCTTGGGTTTTCAGAATGATACACAAACAAGGGTTTAATTTTCAAATCGCCACTCGCATTTGAACACAGCACAAGCGTAAACCTATCTTTCATAGGCTTGTGTCCGGGCAAGGATTTTTCCTCCTTGGTAATGTATGTCCTCTTAGGCATTCTTTTCCAGAACAGTCCTGTTTCGTCACAATTAAACACTTGTTGCGGTAGGTATCCCTCAGCCTCTGCAAACTCTTTAAATTCTTCAATAAATCGTTCAGTGGCTGGTTTGTCTGAGCTGGCAGCCTCCCCATGCCTCACAACACTATGAATACCACTTCTTTTTCTAAATTTGTCAAATCATCCCCTGCTTGCCTTAAAGTCTATCGTATCTGCACTCGTTCCAGGGGTTTTCTCTACAAGGTCTTCGTGCAATACCCTGGCTTTCTCACAAATGATGGCCTCTGAAACACTATCATATTTAAGTCCTTGTCGTGTATCCAAATTAATAACTTTTCCACTTTCTCAAGTATTTGTGGTCTTTGTTTCGTGATTGTTCTTACGCCTTTTGGCACTTTAGCACTCATAATGTCCTTTTTCTTGGCAAGTATAGTGCATATCGTTGACGTGGCTTTGTTGTACTGCCTACAAAGTTCAACAACACGTGCACCATTTTCATGCATCCGAATGATCTTTTGTTTTTCCTCTATTGTCATCCTCACATGCGATTTCTTGCCTTGATCCTTACCACTGGCTTTCTTGGGACCCATGGTGAGATATATAATAACAACTTTTATGGTCAAATGGCCAAAAATCCAACAAAACAGTGTAAATCCTGGTCAAGAATTCAGGCGGGATAGTCACTGAGCGCGAGGCACAGGTAAACTGAGGGGCGATCCCCATGTCACCACGCGCTAGGTCAGCCTGTATGCGTATCAACACCCTCATCTTCCGATGTAAATTTTCCGAGCAAATCCTGCTCGTATTCCGAAAAATTAGTATACAGGGACACTCGTATTCTGAGGTACCACTGTACAAGTGTTCCATAGTTGGTATAGTAATTGCTTATTACATAAAGTGGGTATAGTAATTGTTTATTACATAAATCCAGTACAGGTAGTTATGCATAGCATTTTGGGCATATGTTTTCAGACATGTTATTGTGTTTTACTCTCTGATTAATATGTAATTAAATTATCATTATCTGTTTCAGACACAGGTGACACAGTAACCACATGTTTAGACATTGGTGCCTGGAACTTCATCAATGTAACGTGTGTACAGATAGAAATGCCGCTTCCATCTGTATCAGGCGGGCGGCGAGGAGAGGGACGTTCCCTCACCTACGACCTATCAAAGGTTCCTCCTGCAGAGTCCCAGGGAACACAAGGACTCATAGTGGCCCTGGCTGTAGTGGCAGGTCTCCTGACTGCTGCTATGTTGGTTGTTGGGACCCTGCTAGCGAGGCGCCACCTTATTTCTGGTCCTGGTTCACTCCGCTCGCTGGTTAGGTCAACGCCGACCAAAGACACAACACTTTATGGTGTCATGGTAGGACCCAGACACAATGACGGTGCTGTAACTGTAAGTAACACCAGCATTGTGGGGAGTAGTGAGAGGCCTGTGGTAGGAAATCCAGTGCCAGTGGAGCCAGGTATAAGATCATCTTTGTATCAACAGAATATTCTCTCAAATTTGCCTTTAAGGCCAGATGATCATGTGACCTCAATCACAGAGTCGGAGTTTGATGATGATCCAAACTATGCCCACATTAATGGTCAGGAACCACCGTATGAACGCGTGCGAACTCGCTCCGAACATAGTTATGAAACGCTACGTAAAAAGTCTCTCATTTCAGAATTTGGCAGTGAATCTGGAAGTGTTAAAGAATCAGGTGACAAAGACAGTATCGGCTATGAATCTGTTAAGGAAAACAAGGAGAAAGATGCAGGATATGAAGTAGTAAAAGAGAAAGACCATGATTATGAAACACTCAAGGAGAAGGATCCAGGTTATGAGACAGTTCAAGACACTCCAGATCATGGCTATGAGACAGTTCACCAATCTGGAGTTCACCATGGCTACGAAACACTAAAGCCCAAGCCTCCTCCCCCCAGAATAGGGATGCAATCTCCCATTCCAACTGACAGCGAAGAAAATGTGCCAGATATCTTACAAAATCTGGCAGAAGATGCCCCAATGCCTGATGTGCCCCCAGAGATCCTGGCCCTTTATGCTCGCATCGATAAGAGCAAAAAGCGTCGACGTCCAGATGCTACAGTTGATTCCGAGCGTGCCCAGGACAGGGAAGCCTGTTCCCCAGTACCACCTACTCCTCCGCACTCACCTGTTAGCCCCAGTATCAGTATCAACAGCAGTACTACCACTATAAGCGACCCCCTTACTGATGTGAGCTATGTTAGCGAGGGAGCTTCGGGGATTTATGTTGCCAAAGACTTGATTCGAAAGTTCAACCGACTGACTGGCGAGGACGAGATATGTCCACGACCTCGCAGTCGACAAGGGAGCATTGCTAGTGACACAGGCAGTCTACGTCCTCTCCCACCACTTCCCAAAGATGCAGCTTCATCCTTGCAGGAAACAGGGGAAAGTTGCCAGTAATATGGACACTCTTCACTCTCCAGCCGCTCGTTAACCCTTCAACAGCTCGGCTAATTAGAGATTGTTGCCGGGTGTATGGTAATAGCTAGGGGTATGTGACAAATAATAGCTAAACAAATATAAAAAAATTGCATTTGGAAATTTGAGTATAGGAAGTAATTGCAGATAGCAATTGCAGTCATTTAAGTATTAAGGAGAAGGATTCTGCAACATCTCCATGCTAGCATACACTTGACATTAATCAGTATACTGTACAGTATGTGCACCAAAACACCCTAGATCCAGATATGGTATATATCACAAAATCACCATACACAGAATGGTTCACGCTTAATTTACTCATATTAAATACTCTTCACTTCATTCAATGTGGCCAGTGGCAGCTAGTTTGGAGTATGGCCAGTTTGAGTATGGAGTACACAATAGTGTACTCCATATTCGTACTGTGTGGGGCAGTGAAAAAAGATCACAGAGGGCACTAAAGGTCTTAATAAGACCTCGGTGGATATCTGATATTTGCTTTTCACATTTGTACTAAATTTCCTTGGCTGATATATTTACAGTATACTTAAAGAGCTTATAAATAACAGACATGTAGAATGTATCCTTACCTGATAAAAGTTACTAATAGGTTGAAACATTAGTGTTGCCGACATATATTCCCTTTGCCATATATAGGAAGCCTGTACTTGTCGAGGCTCCTCCCACTGGGTGAACTACTGACCATCCCACAGTAATTGCCTCTTTTCACATAGTAGTAAAAGGGTTTTTATTTTGAAATGTTTGTTTTGTTCGCTTTTTTGTGACAGAACTCAGTATAGTGATTAAATATATTTGCACAAATGTAGTTTGCAGTGGTTTGATGATGCAGCGCGGTTCTGAACAGTGTGACAGAGTGGCGATCAGTCGAGTGTTATGATGTATACTGATGAATGTCGATGGGGTTGCTGTTGGTCCGCAGTACTGTATATTCAGAGTTACTAGATATATAACAAATATATACTGTATATATTTGTTACTGAACTACTGGGGGAAGGGAAGGGAACTATCAGGGGAAAGCGCTAAGCCATTACGACTATATAGCGCAAACCACTGGGGGGGGGGGGGGGGAGCTCGAGTGAAGATGCTGCGTGTCCGGCCCCCTTATATATGTACCCACCTGAGCCTGTGTTGAACCCAGTTTAGTTTCTCACTTTGGTCAATGAGAAGCTTGCGTGATGGTTCGTGGAATTCTTAGGGTTTTGTTACAGGTATCATTAGTGGTTATTAAATAGGTTTGTGGATGTCATGTGGGATTAATGGGAACTTTAATTGCTTGTAATAGAACTTCTAAGAATTTATAGCAGCTACGTTGCTTGTAATACAGTTGCTATAATTTTATGGCTTGGTGAACAGTGGCATCAGGTGAATTGAAAGGTGCCCATCTGTTTGCATGTTGCCCGAGGACTGAACCCAAGTGCCTCACTTGTCAGCACAGGACATTGTTACAGGTAGACATTCTTGTTCATGTTTGTGTACAGCTTTAAATAATGTTATGTACTGTAAATATCTTGTATTCAATTATTAGCATTAAGTTAACTCTATAAAGTAGATGTACAGTTTAGTGATAGTTCACTAAGATAACCTGTGTTTTGAGGGAAATTAATAACAGTATACCAGTATGTAAATATTTAATTTTTCCATATACGACAAACCTTAATGATTTAGAGATTGTTAAATCTGTGAAGTGTGGCAAGAATACTTTGAATAGATAAGCTTTATTAGTAAAAGCTAATTGTAATGAATATCACTTTGATTTAGTTATCTTGGCATCAGATCCAAGAGTTATTTAATTTAGTAAATAAACCTTGAGCATATATAGTTCCTTTGTTCTTGACACAATGTAAATACTAAATTTAACATACTTCCACTCTGTTTTTATGTAATTTTTGGTCAAAGGTGCACTTCTCTGTCTAACAAATGTATATATTTCTCAAAGTATGGTATGCACATTTTTTTTTTTTACATTGCCTGTAATGTATGTGTGATGGGAATCTACCAAATTTAAGACTGAAATTAATTAATTTGCTGTATTGACTAACTGTGGATTGTGTCATGCATTGAATGGTTTTAAACGTAGTAGCTTTTGTAAGCTCCTCTTTATCATTATTTATTTATCTATATTCGCACACTTACTTTATTTATATATATATATGTATGTATGTATATATATATATATATTATATAATATATTTTTTTTTAACACACACATAATAAGGAAACAAAGATGCCAACAAAATATTAGAAATTTTACTTTTCCAAACAGTGGTGGACGGTTGGAACAAGTTAAGTGAGATGGTGGTGGAGGCCAAAACCGTCAGTAGTTTTAAAGTGTTATACGACAAAGAGTACTGGGAAGACGGGACACCACGAGCGAAGCTCTCATACTGTAACTACACTTAGGTAATTACACACAAACTCTTTAAGGATTAAAGAACTCTAAGAAAGCAAGAGATCCAGAGGCGGTTTTAGAAAGTAGACAGTCACCAGAGGAACACACAAAGAACATTGTGCGAGGAGCATATACGTCACTTTCCAATTTTAGACTCGCTTTTGATTACATGGATTGTGAAATACTAAAGAAACTGTTCATGACTTTTGCGAGACCAAAATTGGAATATGCAGCAATTGTATGGTGCCCAAGTCTCAAGAAGCACACCAATAAACGGGAGAAGGTGCAAAGGCATGCTACAAAATTGCTTCCAGAACTGAAAAACAGGAGTTATGAAGAGATATCTTGAGGTTATCTTGAGATGATTTCGGGGCTTTAGTGTCCCCGCGGCCCGGTCCTCTAGAGAGGACCTGGGGCTAGAGGCATTAAATATGTCAAAGAGAGACTATAGAAGAAAAGAGGCGATATGATAAAATAAAATAATAACGGGAATTGACCAAATTGACAAAGAAGAATTTCTGAAGCTGGCAACCTCAAGAATAAGAGGTCATTGATTCAAGCTAAGGAAACAAAGGTGCCAAAAAAAATATTAGAATGATTTCTTTCGCAAACAGCGTGGTAGACGATTGGAACAAGCTAAGGGAGAAGGTGGAGGAGGCTAAAGCCATCTGTAGTTTTAAAGCATTATACGAGTGCTGGGAGGTCGGGACACCATGAGCGTAGCGCTCATCCTGAAACTACACTTAGATAATTAGACCGTAAGATTCAATGCATTATCAACATTTCCCTGGGCAAACCACATTCATGGAACATTGAATCGGTGCAAATCGGTGTAAGGTAAGGTAATTATCAAAAGAAGGCACCAAACCGGGAAGGCTATGTAGCACCATCAAAGCAAATCGGTGTAGATAATGTTGATTTAATGTTCCTCGAACTTACTTTGCCCATTGGGATAAGTATCACACTTTTAATATTTTTCATCATTATGCTTGTGGCATGTATCTACAATTGCTCATTGATGTACAGTACTATTTCTGTCAAAGAATATCCCGAGTTACCTGAGGGGTTAATATAGTGGCCTTGAAGAGGACAGAAAGCCAGTGGCTTGTCAAAGGTCCCCCATTATAATGCTTTGTCCATAAAGATAAGAATATATATAATGTAATTATTCTACCATAAGTCTATACTTCAGTTAAAAATTGAGCTGGAAAAATCCCCAGGAATATGTGGGGGACATTTGACAGGCCACTACGGGTGGTGGCCCTCGGGAAAGTTCCAGTAAATTAAAATAATTTTATCTTGACCTATACCAGCCAAAGTTAATTGAACCTTGCTTAATTAAACAATTTTAGTGTATATTAACTTGAGACAATGTAATTTTGGTATCAAATGACTGGTAAGAAAGCACTTGGTTTGCCATTGTCAGGGACTGGTAGGCTGGTCAAGGTTTCTCTAGGCCCACTCCTGACCCTCACAATGCAACCTGAGAATCAGACTCGGTGCTGTCGGATCACAACCAGCGAGACCAAACTACTAGGCTACAAATTACCCATAAGTGGTTTGTTAAACCATTAAGTTGGAAAACTGGCCCAATTGAAGTTGGTCAAGCTGAGAGAGCAAAACAATTGTTCATTTATGTTAAGCTTATTTTTGTCTCCTGTAATCTAATTAATAATTAATTGTATGTTTCATGAAAAGATGTAAATATTGCACTAATGTGCTAAGGTGGGAAGTGATATAAAATGTCTGTATTATCTTTGACTAACTAGTCCTGTGTGTTTGTTTTGTACATACTTGTACATTACCACAGAGTTTTATAGAAATAAACACAACATGGGGTTTCTCAAGCCTCTTCTCATGTATTTTATGTACAATATATAAACTTTCTCATACAGTATCTCAACACAGTCATATCTGATATTTAATAATTTGCTCGCATGTTTCTGTCAACCACAGCTTATTTTATTTAAACAAATTTTAGGTTAATATTTTATGTGTACATAATGTTAATTACTAAATTCCACATTGGGGAAAACTGGCAGAATCATGTCATGATGATACATAAGTTTACGGAATAAATTAGTTTTTTAACATTAATCAAGATATGGTCTCATCATCCAGTTAAATGTTTACATATTATAAATTTAATCTTATTTTTTAAATATAAGAATATTAATACGAACAAGATGAATTTTTCTGGCCAATATTAATTTAGCGAGTCCGTGTTACAAATACTGTATATTGTACATGTATATTAGTTTATGGCTGTGCAGGCTCCTTAATTTATAATGACATATAATAATGCTATAGAGATGAAATGTATAGAGAAACTGATACAATTACAGATAGGTCTATTATATTCTAGTGTAGAAAAATAGATAGGTAAGCAGAGCTATATTTTTATGAACTGGATCAGTATTGTATAGAAGTAAGGAAGGATTGTTTCAAGACAAATGTGAAATTGGATTTAAAAGTATATACTGTATATTAAACAATAAACTATTGTATTTGTACAGGATTTGTAAACAGGATGTAAACAGGATTTGTACTATTGATTATTATTATATTATACAGAACTTTAGTTTGTGAAAATAGTCCACAATTTCCAGAACTGTTTACTTTCTAGACATATTTCCAATATTTACAAATAGGTGTTTGTAGCATACCAATTACCAGTATAATGCTCAATTTAACTCCCATTGTCAGGAACAGAAACATTGTACAGGAACATTGTCAGGGACGGGAAGCCTGTACAGGAACATTGTCAGGGACGGGAAGCCTGTACAGGAACATTGTCAGGGACGGGAAGCCTGTACAGAAACACTGTCAGGGACGGGAAGCCTGTACAGGAACACTGTCAGGGACAGGAAGCCTGTACAGGTACACTGTCAGGGACAGGAAGCCTGTACAGGAACATTGTCAGGGACGGGAAGCCTGTACAGGTACACTGTCAGGGACAGGAAGCCTGTACAGGAACATTGTCAGGGACGGGAAGCCTGTACAGGAACACTGTCAGGGACGGGAAGCCTGTACAGAAACACTGTCAGGGACGGGAAGCCTGTACAGGAACACTGTCAGGGACAGGAAGCCTGTACAGGTACACTGTCGGGGACAGGAAGCCTGTACAGGAACATTGTCAGGGACGGGAAGCCTGTACAGGTACACTGTCAGGGACAGGAAGCCTGTACAGGAACATTGTCAGGGACGGGAAGCCTGTACAGGAACACTGTCAGGGACGGGAAGCCTGTACAGAAACACTGTCAGGGACGGGAAGCCTGTACAGGAACACTGTCAGGGACAGGAAGCCTGTACAGGTACACTGTCAGGGACAGGAAGCCTGTACAGGAACATTGTCAGGGACGGGAAGCCTGTACAGGTACACTGTCAGGGACAGGAAGCCTGTACAGGAACACTGTCAGGGACGGGAAGCCTGTACAGGAACAATGTCAGGGACGGGAAGCCTGTACAGGAACAATGTCAGGGACGGGAAGTTTATCCAGGTCCCCCTCGGCCAACTGCTGACCTTCTCCGGGATGCCACCCACAACAGCGTTCTAACTCCCGGGTTACCTGTTTTACTGCTAGGTGAACAGAGTTATCAGGTGAAAGGAAATGTGCCCAACCATTTCTATTCTGTCTAGCGGGTGATCCAGATCCCTTGGTTGTGAGCCAAGAATGTAGACTACTGTGCTATGGGATCCTTATTTATAGGGAGACATCAACAGATAGAATTACAAATCTTCTTATACACAAGGATTCAATTTCAGTTCTTATGCAGGAGACGAAGGTGCCGAAAAAATAGAAAGTTTTCTTTTCCAGAGTGGTAACAGGTTGGAACAAGTTAGGTGAGAAGGTGGTGGAGGCCAAAACCCTCAGTAGTTTCAAAGCGTTATACGACAAAGAGTGCTGGGAAGACGGGACACCACGAGCGTAGCTCTCATCCTGTAACTACACTTAAATAATCACAGTTTAGTAACAATTACTGCTGTAAAAATGTCTACTGTAAATAGTATGAAAAGTGTATAAACTCGTAAACTTTAAAATTACATAGTGTGTTCTGATTACACAATGGAACTAGTCATGCCTGCTTGAAAATGTTATTTCATGTTTACAAACTTTGTTTTTGTGCAAAATATATATATTAATGAATGCACCATAATGTAATATCAGCCTGTCCTCACACTTGATGCATTGGTTTTGATGCTATTGACCAGTGTCAAAACTTCAGTGCTCTAGTGAAATTATTGGCACAAATTGATGCTTTCTGGGGCTATTGAGTATAGGCCTTCTTAAGGTAGGTGGGTTGCCCAGGTTCAAAGGATTCTGATTATTCAAAATAACTTCAGTCATGAGAACAGGCTACCTTGAGGTGCTTCCGGGGCTTAGTGTCCCCGCGGCCCGGTCGTCGACCAGGCCTCCAGGCTGACT